GCAGTTTCTATACTGACACGCAAACAGGCCGGCGGTGCCTTTTGCTTGTACAATGACTACAAATCTCTCTCTACCGTTATATAGGGTTGCAAACCCTTGCTTTTTTTCATTTTTGCACATGAAAACAAGACACTTCAAAAATCTTCTCCTTATTAAGCATATAGCAGGACTTCATTATTCCAGACAAAGCCTTTCACATTTGCAAGAACAATTCTGGAGCAAACCGCGCAGCTAGACTAGATTGGCTGCTACTTTGTTCCCCATGTTTGACGATTAGAAGCATGCGATGGGTTGTTGTCATCTTTTTGACCCATCAGCCCATTCTTCTGCACTGATATGGCTTGCTTCACAAAGGGAAAAAGCAGACGTTTTGCAGAGAGGCATTTCCTGCCATTCGTGTCAATCTTGATTTGGGGAGGGGGGGGAAGTCTCGTCTTGTTCTTCGGCTGAAAACGAGACCTCTCAGGAGGGCTAACAAGCTCCTGGCAGATGGTCTTGAGGGGGTGCATCAACCTGTCTCATCGTGTCCTTGATCTGCATTTCTTCCGAGCCCTACTGCTAGGCCACAGAGGACCCAGGACTCATAAAAGGCAGCAAGTGGCTAAACATTTCTTGTTGAGGAAAGATGGATCTGTCGTCCCAAAAGCACACAGCTGACTTCGAACAGATGCCCCTTGATTTCACTGGGGTGGTGGTTAATGTATGCAACTTGATTTCAGTGATTGGGATACCCTTGGTCACTTCACAACACTCTGCCTTGAAATGCCCCCCCATCTCCATGTTTTCTTTGCTCTGCTTGATCCCCTGGCCCCCCCGTTTAGGACCACAACCCTCACCGTCCTCACACACTAGCCATTTTATCTGGGATGGCAACCCTGGAGGTCTAAAAGGTTTGGAGAACATGGGATGCCCACTCCTGCTTTGTAAGGCCACCTATAGATGAATCACCATCGCCGCCGGGCACTGACTGCGGAGTTCCATCCCTGGCATCCAGAAATTAGCTGTTTTCCCCCCCCACCTTGGACCCACTGGACACTGACGTCAGCACCGTTTGCTCTGTCTGTTTCCTGGTGTTTCTGCCAGACAAAAATCTTCCCTCCCTCCTGCCGTCTCCTCCATCTTTTCTTTTTTTCCAAACTGGAGGGGCTGGGGATTGAAACAGGGTCCAAAGGAAGCTGCTTTCAGCGGACTCTGAACGTAGATCCATCTTAACCCAGTATGGCTGAGTGAGAAAAGTCAGAGAATACTGGAGTTGGAAGGAGCCTATAAAGCGGGGGATGTTGGCAAGCCTTGCACCCCCGAGTCCCAAGTCCGAAGGTCGGTCCTGGGACCCTAGTCCCGAATGCGAGTCTCGGGACACGAATCCTAAGCCTTGAATCGGAATCTTGAGTCAATTTATCAAGCCCTCCCTCTTCCCCGCCCCAATGAGGGTAGAGATTTTGGACCCAAAGACTCCATCTCTAAAGATGGCGACTGCAGCGGTGGCAGGCCAACAGGGACTCAAGAGGGTCCAAGTTGCGAATCAAGTCTCAAGCCCC